CAGCTATAGTCTGGATTCAGTCAGTCTTCAGGCAGCTCGCTTCTCTGCTGGCTGTCAAATATGTTATATTTACCATTCAATAAAACAAACTCTTTTCTCAAAACAAATCAATTATCATACAGAAATAACAGAGCAAATTGAGAGACAAAAAAGCCACAATACATGAATATGCACTCACTCACGCACTCTAACTCTCTCACTCGCTCGCTCCCGCTCTTAAGTCTAACAAAAATGTCTCCTTTTATACAAAAATGATCAATTAGTTAATAATAATGAATAATAATAAGATAATAACAGAAAAAAACATCATAAAACCACACAGTTACCCAAGTTACCTATAGTTACCCAAGTTACTGAGTTACCAAGTAACCAATAGTTACCCAGTTACCAAGTTACCCAGTTACCCATGCAGTTACTGAGTTACCCAGTTACCCATTTACCCAGTTACTGAGTTACCCAGTTACCAAGTTACTGAGTTACTGAGTTACCAAGTTACCAAGTTACTGAGTTACCAAGTTACTGAGTTACCAAGTTACCCAGTTACTAAGTTACCAAGTTACTGAGTTACCAAGTTACCCAGTTACTAAGTTACCAAGTTACTAAGTTACCAAGTTACTGAGTTACCCAGTTGCTGAGTTACCCAGTTACCAAGTTACCTAAAGTTACCCAAGTTACCTATAGTTACCCAAGTTACTGAGTTAACAAGTTACCCAGTTACTAAGTTACCCAGTTACCAAGTTACCCAGTTACCCATGCAGTTACTGAGTTACCCAGTTACCCATTTACCCAGTTACTGAGTTACCAAGTTACCAAGTTACCCAGTTACTGAGTTACCAAGATACCTATAGTTACCCAGTTACTGAGTTACCAAGTTACCTATAGTTACCCAGTTACTAAGTTACCAAGATACCTATAGTTACCCAGTTACTGAGTTACCAAGTTACCTATAGTTACCCAGTTACTGAGTTACCAAGTTACCCAATTACCCAGTTACTGAGTTACCCAGTTACCAAGTTACCCAGTTACCCAGTTACTGAGTTATCCAGTTACTAAGTTACCAAGTTACTGAGTTACTGAGTAACCAAGTTACCCAGTTAGAGTCAGCAACCTACTATCGCACACCATCGATATTCGAACACTTTTTCTCACAGTTCAGTGATCAGAAGCCAGTGGCTATAATTTTATCTTGTAGATCAGATGTTCCTCTACAGCTGTAACAACTTTCATAGAGATCAGTCCTGGCTGTGTTTTTATAATAATTTTTTAGTAGAAGTTTCGAACACATCAGTGCAAGTTCGCATAGACGCCATGTATTGTCGTTCACCTATTTTCGCTCAGTAATGAAGTAACTGGCAAACAATTCATCATGTTCATATGAAAGCCCTGTCTTTCTGCTCCATGATGCACTATTCAGTTACAAGAAAGAGCTAGTCTTCACTGCGCTAGAGTTGATTCTTTGGAAGAGAACACGCACATCTACATTCGTTCAAATTTTTGTTAATTTTAATTTTTTTGTTAAGAGCTAATGGGCAAAGAAAAAATTTTAATATTTTTAAAATTAAATTTTATTCAAAAATTAATAAAATATGTAAAATTTGAACGAATGTAGATGTGCTCTTC